TTTGTAGGTATTTATGTACCTGATAAGTTGAATTTATATTGTTTCATTACGAACATAATCAAACTCAATTTTATGAGAAAAAAAAGATGAATTCATGAATATTTTTCGAGAAAAATGTAAATTCCTTAATTTTTTTTATACAGTAGTACTCAATTCATTGAGAAATCCAGTGAACTGAATTCAGTTCTCACTAGACCTTCCAGTTTTTATTTCTTGAATTAAGGCAACTTCATAAGCCTCTTCCATTGTGAACTGTGGATATAATTCAACTAGCTTACTTGCGATTTCACTCGCATTTATGCCAATCAATTAGTGTCAGTACAATAGAAATGAATCAATCTGGAATGCTAGATGACGTTAAAGAAGCTAGATCTTGAAATATTTCGACAAGAATTTTTTTATCTCACATAAAAAATAATTGGTTTTGATGAAAAATATCCTATGTTACTTCTAATATCTTCAAGAACATATGTGTACAAAATTTCATGATGATCGCGTGAAACCGTAACAGACAAACTAACATTCGCATTTATAATATTAGTAGGGATTGGCTTCTGCTGAAAGCTCAGCATCAACTCTCATGTCCCTCAGAAATACTCAATCGGGGAGATAAGTATTCATTTCTTTGTGACAAAAAACGCATTTCGCAAATTTCATTTCGTAGAGTAGAGCGTATTGAATTCTAACATAAACCAATTTACGTATATACACTTTGGCTGCTACGTGTTGTGATTTCGTTATGGAGTTTTCCGCTTCGACATACGAGTCACCACATTTTGAGATGAGCAACTCCTAATTCTTCTTGAGTAATTCATCTTATGTATTCTCTCCTGCACACCATTTTTCTCAAATGGTTTCACGATGAACAATTTTTTATTTTATTTCCATTTTATTTATTCAGAAAATACATCCAACAAGTCATGAGAGCCAATTACAGGAGTACATAATACAAAATGAAAAGCTTGTATTAGTCTTGAAAAACAAAAATTAAACATAAAACGTAATCTATATTAGCATTACATACTATGTAACGTATCAGTTCTGTAGTGCATTATAGATTGCTTTCCTAAACTGAGATAATGGTAAGAAGAATATATATATATGTTTTGGTAACATTGTAGCTTCCACACATTGATGTCAAAGGAGAGTGAAAGTGGTGTTGTGAGTTAGGTACGTCGATGTAAAAAGTTATATGTGACCTGGAAGTTATACGAGGAACGTTAAAATTCAACGATGAAAGTAAAGTAGAAGAGTCGATTTGATTATATCGAGTGGTCCAACGAAAAGTATGCCCCTTGCTTTCCTCCTTTTTTTGTAACTTAACGCAAAAATGCTCGGACAGGTCAATTTTGCTTTTGAGGAAAACACATTTTAGATGTATTTTTCTACCTGTGCCTTCAACCCTCTAGCGAGGGTGAGTAACATCCCTAAAATTTTGAATGGAAAGTGGGGTCGAGTGATATATCATTGAAAGGGCACAAAATTCTCTTTCCAATTATACCTAATTTGTTGTATTTACTTGAATAGTTATAAAAAAAGCAAGAACATTTACTCGATATTTTTGGTGATGAAAGTGCGGAAAAAACGGCATGTTTATCACTACTACATTCCTCAATTTCTCTCGTGCGTTTTTTGGTTCAAATAACAACAGCAGATAAGTGTACAAAAAGAATTTAGGCAAAAGTTCATTGATTCAGTTCGGTAGCTTCTGAAATTATTTCAACTTTACTGTAAAAATGGTTTATTCCATTCCTGAACGAGTTGAAATTGTTAAACTTTATTATCAACATAATAGTTGTGCTAGACTTACTGCTCGCCTCTTTAATAACAGTCATCCCGGGAAAAATGTGAATGATTCGTACGTTGCCAAGTTAGTCCAAAAGTTTGTTGATACCGGATCTGTCTGTAATGTGAAACACCAGCCACGGAAACCGATCAGAAATGAAGCAGTGGAAGTCGCTGTTTTGGAACATGTTGAATTGGATCATACTCAAAGTACCCGTCAGCTTGCTGCAGGCTCAGATGTCTCCCGTTCGTCCATAATACGGATATTGAAAGCCTATAAATTTCATCCGTACAAAATTAAATTAGTACAGGAACTCAATGAAGATGATCCTGATAGAAGGCTGCAACAACTGAGCCATCTATTAATTGATGATCCACACCTATCATTCAACACGTGCTTTTCCGATGAGAGTACATTTTTTTTAATGGAGCTGTGAATAGGCGTAATTGCCGTTACTGGGATGACAGTAACACACACTTATTCCGAGAGGTCCATACCCAGTAACCTCAAAAAATCAATGTCTGGTGTGGCATAGTAGGTAGTCATATCGTAGGGCCACTTTTTATTCCTGGGAATTTAACTGGTGAGGTCTACCTGAACATGCTTGAAGATACAATTGATCCTCTCATTACAGAAATAATTGAAAATGACCAAAATCATAACGATGATCGGCTTCATTTCCAGCAAGATGGAGCACCTCCTCAATATGTTGCTCCGGTAAGAGAGTTTTTAGATGACCGGTTTCCTGGACGGTGGATTGGAAGGAGAGGCACCATCGAATGGCCTGCCAGGTCACCTGATTTATCGCCTTCAGAGTTTTTTCTTTGGGGACACTTGAAAAATAAATATTTTGCTACGAAGCTCGAGTCCATAGAAGATCTTCGCCAACGAATTACAGCAGAGTGCAGAAGTATAACACCTGATATGATACAGAATGTTAGGAATTGATTTGAACAAAATCTGTATTATTGTATGGAAGCAAATGGGTCACATTTTCAGCACTTACCGAAGTAGAATCCTACTAAGTCAATTACACATTTTAAAGTACTGGATTATAGTTGTTTTTCTTCATAATACCTACATGTTTGAGTGAAATACAATAAATTAGGTATCATTGGAAAGATAATTTTGTGCCCTTTCAAATGATATATCACTCGACCCCACTTTCCATTTGAAATTTTAGGGTTATTACTCATCCTCGCTAAGGGGTTGAAGGCACAGGTAGAAAAATACATCTAAAATGTGTCCCCTTCAACAGCAAAATTGACCTGTCCGAGCATTTTTGCGTTAAGTTACAAAAAAAGGAGAAAAGCAAGGTGCATACTTTTCGTTGGACCACTCTGTATATGATTTTGTATATAAAAATCAAGTCGTTAATTTATATATATATTTGTCTTGACATGGATTCCATATGGAGCTACAATTTTCCAGTTTGCTTCTGACCAGTGAATAATATATAGAGCTAATTGCCTCCAATGATGAGAATTCTTTGCTATTACGCATAACAAATCCTAACATTTTCATTGCACGGGATGTTATTTCTTCGATATGTGACGAGAACGTTAGTTTTTCATCAAAGATAATACCCAGATATCTCGATTCGGTAATTCTTGCCAATGTTGTATTATCCAATTTGTATTTATATATTTGTACCGAGGATTTTCTTGCAAAAGTCATAATTTTACATTTGCCTATGTTTATGATAGTTCATTTTTCTGACACCAACCGTGTAACTCAGTAATATCGTTTTGTAATGATATACAATCAGAGTAGTCTTCAATATCCCTGAAAATCTTCATATCATCAGCAACAAGTAGTTTTTCAGAGTTGAAATTATCAGAAATGTCATTAACAAACAGAAGAAATAATAGTGGACCCAAGGTTGAACCTTGAGGAACCCTGGAAGTTGCATTAAATATAAACGATTTAATTCCTTCGTATTCCACAAATAATTGTCTATCACTAAGATATGATTTCAGCAGATATTGAAGGCTCCTCGAAATGCTAAAGCTTGATAACTTCATGAGCAACTGATGATGTGAAACCCGATCAAATGCTTTGCTGAAGTCCGTATACACCACATCAAGTTGTTTACGTTGGTCCAGTTTGTCAGAAACATATTGTGTAAAAATACAAAGATTTGATGCAGTGCCACGACACTTCACAAAACCATGTTGAAATTCGGAAATTGTGTTTTTTACGTGCTTATAAATGATGCCCGATAAAATTATTTCAACTAATTTCGAGTACACTGATATTATAGTAATCGGTCTATAATTTACTATTTCCGAATTCTTGCCGGTTTTAAAGATAGGGCATTTCCTCGACAGCTTCCATATATTCGGAAAGAAACAATTTTTCAGCACGAGGTTGTAAATGATACAAAGAGGCTTCGCAAAAATGTCATCTGGTCCAACTGTCAATTTATTTTTCAACTTATTGGAAGCCGAGATGACGTCATTTTCCGAAATTTCACTAAGATGTAAGTAATCACTGGTGTTGAGACATTCTCCATTACTCCAGTTTGAATTCTTTAGATTATCATTAGAAATATACACGCTTTGAAAGTTCGTTGCAAATGAACTAACTATAGCGTTAGGTGATGACAATATTTGATCATTAAAATACATATGTCCTGGAATCCGAGATTTATCATTCTTTGAGTTCACATAGCTCCAAACACTTGAGGGATTTTTTTTTCAGGTTTTGTTCGGAGTTCGCAATGAAACGTTTATATGAAGTATCTATATCGCGTTTAACTAAATGCCTCATCTCTCTGAAATTTTCACGATAAAAAGTAGTTTATGATGCCTATACATTTACAGGTAGTGATTTTTTACTTTCAGTTTACGAATCAGATCTTTTGAATACCAGGTAGGGTACTTGCGGAAGCAGCATTTTTTCATGGGTACACACTTTTATATTATATTTTGTATGACTTTTTGTAAGATTTTTATTTGTGAATGTGAATAACTCCAAATTTCAGGTTTTATTTTACAGTATTCACAACATTTTCGTATACAGTGTATTTATTTTCTATTGTTTTTTCAGGAATCGACAATATCTGCTCGTAACCAGAACCCTCCGTATACACCTCCTCGTGGGAAACATTTTCCGCTATGAATAATAAAGGATACCTCAGATAAGAACTAGAAACTGAGTGAGATTGATGTCCTCATGCGAAACTGCTGTAAAATATATTGGAAATATTTACCTCGGATGGGAAGGAATATCCGTGGATATAGTGTTCAGATCCCAGCTGATTCTCCATTCCGTAGTGTATGTATATTTCCTCGAATTGATATCGATACGCTAATGGGCCTCCCGATATGTTGACGTGCTGCTTTGTGTCTTTGTCTACGCGAAAGACCAATGATTGTCCTGTATTGTGCAACATACCGCTTACCTGAAAACAGAAAATGATTTTCATAAAATGATGATAATAATCATAATGAAGAAAAGAGAAATAAGTAAAAATATGTATCATACGGGGGTAATTCAAAATTTTCCGAAAGAAAAAAAAATCGAATAGTAGGCCATGACTTCGTATCTGAACATAACTTTAATTTTTGAAATAAGGGTACTTTACTCTTGAACGAACTTTATATTTTTTGGCCTATCCTGTATGGTGTTTGTCATAAAGCCATTTCAGGTACACTTGGTATAGTTTTGGAACATGCACCAACTTCTGTCAAGAATAAAATTTTCTGAGAAATCGACAAAAAAGTTTCCCATTTGTTGCACACTCAGTGGCCCACACTGTGTAATAAACAATTACAAGAAACAAGAGTATACATTCAGCAAATAAACATTAAAAAACCACAGATATAGCAAAAGCTGTTTGTACGTGGCGAAACAAAATTTGGATTCAACACTTTTTTCTTATTGGAACACTAAAATGGAAAAAGGATTCTAAAATAAGTATTTACAAAATAATATTTGTGATACATGGAAGTATAAGTTTACTGTGATGTGTAAATATATAT